ATCCTCTCTCCCCTGCTCCTATCTGCTGAGACCAGTGCCTTGAACAGCCATCCAGAGTGGTGAGCCCTGTTTGCTCTTGCTGGCTGTGGGGAGCTCTCTGCGCAGATGACAGTGCTTATACAATGGCTTCTCTGTTCCCTACAAAGCCACCAGTTCAGCATCCTTAAGTCCTGTGGGCAAAAAGAAAAGTTGGGCTGTACTGTAGCAGAAAGCTGCTTTCTCTCTCTGTGCAATAATGCTCACATCTGACCACGAGCCAGATGTAGAAGTCTTAAGAACTGACCTCTCTGGTTCTTTTTGGGTCAGTACGACTGGCGAGGACAGTTGGTCCTCTCTGGGAAGGAGATGGCAGGAGTCCTGTCCGTGGGAGGAACTTCAGCACAGCTCACTTCCAAGATGGAAGAAGGGAACCAGGCACCAAAAGAGGGAGTGAGGCTGCAGCTGTATGGACAGATGCACAACGTGTACACTCATCACTGCCCCTGCCTCGGCACAGACCAGCTCCGCAGCAGGCTGCTCTCTATGCTCATTCAAGTGAGTATCTTCCAGAAGGGCATTTGCAAGGTTCCTGGATACAATATCAACCCTCTGCACTGAATGACAGATGTATAAGGCATAGCTGCTAATGGGCAAAAAGTCAATAACTATCTTTAATAGAAGGCATTTACATATATCTAAAAAAGTCCAGTGCTTTTGTCAAACATACTCTCTATGCCCAAATCAATGCCCTCCAAGCAGACACACAGGCACCCCATTCTAGAGTTTCCTACTTGCAGGCTCTGTTTGGCTCCTTACTTAATACACATGGAGTTGCTCTCCAGAGGTGCTAAGATCACCTTCAGGATGGAGCAAGGCAAAGACTTCCCTTGGCTCCTCTGAACTACTCCTCCATCCTAGGACAGCCTAAACAACAGCTCCCGGGAACCAACTGGGACCTTTCAATTTGATATACTTCTGCCCTTTGCTGACTTTAACCCTGAAGCAGTCTTTAAAAGAGCAATATTTCCTCTTAAAAACATACAGGTGTTTTGGTTCTTCCAAACTTTATTTCACTTGAGGGGGGATGTGGCAGGGTCTGATGCAAAGTCAGGAATCAGTCTCCACTAAAACTGAATTTCTCAGAAATAAACTACTCACTGCCCATCCACTTGCTTCCCTATAAACCAGACCTCCCCATATATTTGAGACCCAAATGTCCCACATGGAGACACACTTCCCCCAGTTATATTGGGGAACTCCTAGAGATGAGAAACACTGATTTTCTTGAGGGGTTGATCCATTTAGAATGCAAACTAGAACAGCCTCTTTCTTGCAACTAGAAAGAGTACAGAATTCATTGAAATTTTATTTCTGGCCTGAGGGAGAGCAGAGGTAGGGCTGAGACTCCTCAGCCTCCAACAGCATGTCCAGTCATTGCAGCTTGCCCTGAATTCTGCAGGAGCTGGGAACCTGCTGCATCTGTCTGGGCCTTGCAGTTGACTAGCTGAGGTAAGTTTTGGCAAACCTTTTGAAGCCTGCCTGCTCGATTACAACATTGTGGTGCCAGAGGAAACTGTTCTTCACTGTGTTATATTTTGTCTTCCTGTGTGAAGCCCTGGGACGCCAACCTCCTCTCTTGCTGCCTCTGTCCTTGTTTTATTCTTTCTCTAGGATCAGAGAAGTGCTAAAACTGTGTCTAATCCCTGCTGGCCCCTCACCTACTCCCGGGAAGTGGAGTGGCAATTGGTGCATGCTGGGCCTTGTGCTGCCAGTAATGATACATCAGACATACCTGGTCCCAAGGAGGTCTTCAACATCACTGGCTCTAGCAATCCCACCGCCTGCATGAGACTTGTGCAAAGCCTGCTCAACTCTTCCACTTCCTGCAGCTTCTTCAAGCATTCCCTCAGCAGTGTTTTCAAGCCCGTCCGGACCAGGTTTCTGGTGGGTTCTTATTTATACTGGGGTAGGCAACTGGTATGGAGAACCCATGAAACGGGACCAGTTCAGTCCTTAATAAATACAGTGGGAACAGCCATGCTGTGCCCTCTGCTAGCCAAGAGGGCCAGTGCTCTGGCTAATGCTGCATACACAGTGCTAATAACGTACACATGCACTCCTGCCCTCTCCCCCTCATTGGCAAAAGCTATTCAAACATGGACCACAGCTTCCTACCAATGACTGCGGTAGGGATTTCTTCATCCATGTCTCAGCAATGTCAGCTTGTGAGACAGACTTTGGGGTTCCAAAAAGCCATAAAGGAGCTCACGTGAGCCAGCAAGGATAGGGCAGACAGGAGTTGTGTGCTGAGCAGGTCTTCCCACACCAAGTATGTAGTGAAGCTGAAGATCCTCTGCCACTCCCTCAGCAAACATCTGGGCATGCTCCACCACAAGCATGCTTACATCTGAGACCCTGAATCAAGTGTCCAAAGTCATTGGGTTGTTAAGCCAGGACCAGCTCAAGATCCTAGGACAAACTGAGTGCATTTCAGAGGGAGGAATTACAGAAATCTCCCCAGATTCCTGCTCCTGAGAGCCTCCCACAGACATGGTGCCAAGGAGCACAAGGCCCTGCCTACTTATCCAGGCAGGGCCAGAAAGGCTGCTGTATGCAAACTAGAAACAGTCCTGTTTCCATCTCCAGACAGTAGCAGATCTGCTTGTCTTCCTTGCACCCATTGGAGGCCCTGTAACCACCAAAACAAGCACACAGAAGGGGCACCCTGGCAATGCACCCCACAGATACTGCCACTTACTTTCCTATGGGCACTGTATGCAAGGATGCAGAGCGCAGTCCAACCTGATGATTATTTCTACTGCTGTTGTAGGTGATTTCTGAGGCCATGGACTCCATGAGAGAAACTGTATCCTCTCCTGACTTGGGTCAGGCAGTCAACAGGCCTTGTGGGATGTCTGTCAAAGAGGTAACTGTGGAATAACTTAGTGTGAACAGAGAGTGGAAAATAAGGAACAGTCTGCTGTAAAAAGCCCATGTGGGTCAGACTGACAGAGCCATAAGTTACTGTCTCCCTCAGGGAAAAACTGAGATTTGCCTAGGTGGTTTTTGTGTGTTTTTTGGTTTTGTGTGGAGGTTTTTTTGTTTCATTTGGTTTGTTTGTTGTTTTTTTTTTTACTTTGAGGAAACAAGCTCCACTTATTTTCCTTCCTCTGAAATCCCAGCTGCTGCTGGTAACACCTGGGCTTAATTAAATGAAAAACCACAAGTACCTTTTACTGTGCATTAAGGAGTAAACAGGAAGGCTGTCTACTCACTCCTGTCCATCACCTTGGTCTTCCTGTTATCCTCCTCTCCTTAAGTGCAAGGAATACATCCGCTCAGACTCCAGGGACTTTCCCTTTTCACCAGGGCCCATGGAGACCAAGCCAGCGGGAATTCGTACATTCTTTCCCTTAGTTGGTGGCTTATGAGGTCACCGTCATCTGCACCCACACTGACCGAGCATCCACAGTAACATTCAAATTGGACAAATTTCTACAGGACTTGCTAATGGGGTAGCAAAGCCCATAAGTAGTTCCCTAAGGTTTTCTCTTCTGGATAGAAGAGAAAGATCTTGTTAGTGCTCCTATTGAGAGAAAGGCTGCAGCATTAGCGCAACCTAATTAGAGAGCAGAGAATCATACCAAGCAGTTCACCTGCAAGGCAACTGTAGGAGACCTGGCTGCCAGTCCTGGTGCTCTTGGAACTGCCTGGTCTTTAATAAGATGGGAACAAAGCCACTAAGAGATGACACTGGTTCCTACACTACAGCCCAGTGGGTGCAGGAAACATGGTTTCAGCCTGCACAGGACATAAATCCCTTCTCCAGTCCCATAGTTGGTCCCAGAGCAGCAAAGGAGAGGTTATAGCAGGCCTGAAATTCAGCGACTGAATATTTACTATTTTTATTTTTTTCCCCCATCTTCTTTTGGAAATGACACCTGCTGGTCAAGAACTCCCAAACAAGCCTGGATACACTTGCTGATTACTGCATTGTGTCTGCCTTCATCTTTCATCTCAGTACAAAGGGATACACATTTGACTTTGATAGGTCTGTTTGGACCGCATTCCAGAAGAAGGTCAGTTACCTACAGTGTGGTATTTCCAATTACAAGGGAGGGTTGGTTTCAGTAAAGCCAGCCTGTCCCCACTCCTACAAGCCCTAATCAGCTACGTTTCTCCAGCAAGACACTTTTGCAAAATAAATTCACCATTGTGATAAGCAAGAAAACCAGTGTCAGAGAGCTAGATATTACACTTGTCCCACTGAAAAACACATGGGCCAAAACCTCATCTGGAGCAATACCATCTTTAAGAGTCTATGCCCAATAGGGAAGGAAGTATGGCTTGGTCACCACTTAATGCTAAGGAAAAACTGCTGATAATATTTCCTGAGCCAAAAGATGCTGCCCTACCTCTTTGCAATCACCTTTATACTAGTGAGGGTTTGTAACTGGCTTATAAAGTCTGAAATTGCTTCAGGATCTGGAGCCCCTGAGGAAAGGAGGATTTGATTCAAGCCCTTCCCTTCACAAAATAAGGAAAGCCTATTCCCAGACGTCTTCTCAACTCACCAGCAAAGGCATGGTCCCACTGAGCAGGGCCACATCAGTAGTAGCAGCTCAGTCAGCCATGTGGTGATCATCAGACTAAGGCAAGGTAAAGAGGTAGGTCCATCCAGGGAGCCCAGCCTGGAAAGCCAGAGACAAGCTACCTACAACATAGCTCTGAGGTTCAGTCAGACAGCAGGACCAGAGACAGAAGTACAATGTAGACTTGAGGTCCACCTGGGAAAACCAGTCAGTAAGCAGGAGAAGGAACAGCACACACCTACAGCATAGCTCCAGAAAGAGGTGGCTGCCCAGGCCAGAGCCTAAATGGAGCTCCCAGACCCATGGGCAGAGGGGGTGCGTGGAAGCCCCAGATGAGGCTCGGCAGGGCAATTAAGGCTTATTAGTGCACTGGGAGTGGGAGAGCTCCTCATTTCAAGCCTAATCCTTGGATCAGTCTCAAATAAAGTATATGAGGTCTTGGGCCTGTGCACAGGAACACAGCTGTGGTCCCGATTGTCTCCTTCTCTTCTGACCTCTCCTCCTTTTTATTTCAATAGATGGGTGATACATCATCTGGCTGGACTCTTGGGTACCTGCTGAGTCTGACGAACACCATCCCCCAGGACAGCCCGGGCTTCCTCAAGGGGATTGAACCACGGGTCTGGTCTTTGCTCCTTATCCTCTTTGTTGTGCTGCTCACTGGCTCTTTCATGCGCATCTCATACCGAGTAATGGTCAAGGAAAACAGCTTCAGTAACAGGAACAGCAGTGTTTTTGATGACAACTGACAGTTATTCTGGGACTCAATACTCTTGCCAGAGGGCAGTTAACATGGTACATACAGAAATAGGTGTAAGTCAGTGGAGGATACAAGTGATTTTCCTGCAGGACTCCCAGAGCCTCAGTGCCTTAGTTCAACTTGCTAGCACTTGCACTACTGTACTTTGAGACAACGGATCCTGCTCTGCAGGAAGCCTGTGATTCCCGGTGGATGGCAAGCTATTCATTCTCCAAATGAGAGCAGCCTGCACAGATCTTGCTTGGGCTGCAGCTGAGATTACTCGTGTCAACCCAATGAAATGATGCCTCTGAGCAGGCAGGCCCTGAGCTATTGTAAAGTTAATATCGAATAATCCTGTCTAATCAGGAGAGGTGGCATCTGAAGAGGAGCTCTGTCCTCTTCTGTGTCCACAAGAGAGACGATACCTGCTGTATCGCCACTAGTGAAGACTGCAACAGCATTAAAATATAATCAGAATATAGCAGCCAACTTGCTTCCATGTTCTAGGGAACAAGCAGGTATTTTCTGCCTGCTACTACTGATGTGTCTGTTCTTCCACCTCAGTGACAGTATCCATGCATCCCTTCCAGTGAATGCTCCTGCTGACCAAGAATCCTTCAAAAGCAATGGGTTTTGGTCTTGGTCTCTACAAAATGTGCAGAGCTTCAAAGGAGAAACAAAAGGCACAGACAAGCAGCTGAGTTCCTGTCTCTCAGCTGAGTCATGGCAATGCAGGGTTAAAATTGCCAATTTAAACTCTTTAACCAGGACTTAAATTAACACATTTCATTTCACATCTACTAAAATCGGGTGTGTGCTGTGCTGAAGTCCACCAGTTCATTCATTTGCACTGAACTGCTTGTCTCGCTGAGTCTGAAAATGAAGTATCATATCTAATATTGTCCTTTAGAGAAGAGCAGACCCAGGAACAGAAGCTTTCCTAATTGTCAGTCCAATGACTTTCATATTAGACTGTGACCAGAGTTACTTTATAATCCAATACTCAGGATCCGTCTGGGACTTGGTAGTCATTCCAGCTCCTCTGGTCTGGTCTGTTCTGCTTGTCTAAAAGATGAGGTGCTGTACAAATTCCCCATGTTATGGTGAAGAAAAGGCACGGATTCAGACTAACACTCTCCTTTGACTAAGGCATTTAGAGTTCACTTCTTGGATTGCTTTAGAGACTTAAACACACAGGCTGTTAAAAGCCTAAGGGACAAGTGTCTCCTAGTCATTTCAGACCACTTTAAACAGAAATTTAAATGCTCACAGATGCAGTGATGTGCCTTGCAGGATTTTTAAAGCTACCATGGCACCCAAATCCTTTCAAATCTGATTATTAATCCCTTGTGCTCCCAACTCCTATATAGGACATCCCCCTCCCCCATAATATTGGGTTATTCATAAATTTTCAGGCCAATTAATGAAGGTTTGGAACCTGTCGGTCAAGTTTGGAGGGGTGTGGAAACAGATTTAAACAAGCTTCATATTCATTTCTTTGAGTTGCACATTAGATATTTTTAATTATATCATGTTATTAAAGATGTTTTAATAGACTGTCTGTGTTATTCTTGGCAAGAGATCAAAGTGGGGGTTTTATTGTGAATACAGAGTGTTTCAATGAGGAGGATGGGGGATGCTGATTTTGCCTCTGTTTACTCAGGAGCTGTTCTGCTGTGTACTTTCGGGGTACACAATGAGAACCCCTGAAGGCACTTTCTTCCCAGTGGCAGGCAGGCAGAATATGACTTCAGATAACCTGGCTGCTGGTATTTAGTTGATGAGAGACATGTCTACATCTTTGATGTGTTCTTTGCTCAAACCATCTGAAGAAGGCAGGAGGGATTCAGGCAAACCTGCACAGAAAACAAAAAAGAGGTTATCAGGGAGTCAGTGATATTGGGGAAATTCCTTCACTCCTTCCACATCTGGAAATGCAATCATTAAACAGAGCGCTGGCTCTGTGACCTGTCAGCACATAGGAGAACAGCGGGATTCCTGGCTGAGGTTTGCAACCTGCCCAAGAAGAATCCTACCACTGTCAGAAATGGAAATAAGCCAGTTGAGATGCCAGGAACCCCAGGACTCCAGGTGTTCTGGCCTGCTCAGTCATTATACCTTCTTGATTTTGAATACTAGATCACAGGGTCCAAGAGAAAAGGACATTGGCTGGAACTTCCCCAAGCTCTTGTTTAGAAGTTTTGGGACTTCCATGCAGATAGTAAGTAAGCAATTAGGCAAGAAGCTCAGCACGTCCTCCTGATACTTTACTTTTGCCTCGCACATGCCACTGAGCTGTACTGAGTGATGGCACGTACAGATGGCCTAACATGCCCCATTAAATCCATGACATGAGCCACCATTTGACATCGAACCACTGCTCTGCGATGCAAAGACAACCCACAACCACTTGATTTAGAGCAGATCCTAAACTCTTGAGCTAAAAGCTGCTGTTCTCATCAAAGGCACAGTGAGACATTTCAATGGCTGAAGTTCTTCCCCTGGTGGCCCATACACTGCTCCTTTCCCATCACTGCTTCCAAACACTGCCACCGCTGTCTTCTCCTGCAGGCAGGTCGTGGGGGCAGGCATGGGCAGGCACATGTGTTCTCACCTAAGGACTGTGCTGCCCAGCCCAAGCTGCAGCCCCCAGCAGGGGGGTTACCAGGTGAACGGGGCTTGGAATGGGCAGTATTGGCGGTGTGTATCATTCTCTTTCTATCTGGCAGAAAAAAAAAACACTTATAGATGTATTTACTAGACGATGAGCTAGATTGGTATATTTAAAGCCCTGAAGTGTGTTTTTAGCCATAAAAAAAGGCAAAACATAACAAAATTGGGAACCTATGAGAAGACTGGAAACTAATAAAAGTAACATATTCCTTTCTCCCTCCTCTCTATAGAAGCAGCTCCTTCATGTCAGCACTACGTTAGTTTGCAGAATTAATCCCCAGATTACCTGGACAGCAGAAATCTACTTAAAAGAAGATTCTAGGTTAACTCACTCACTTTGAAACAAAGATGCTTGCAGCCCTTCGGTTACAATGTAATTGTGGAAATGATTAATAATGAGGATTTTCTAACTGTCCATCAATTCTTTAGGTTTGTGCATAGCTCCCTTGCTTCTTACTCAGGCTGAAACCATGTGAGAGCTCTTCTGGCAAATAATGTATGTTCACACATAATTGCAGTTCTGCTGCTGTCAGCAAGTATCAATAAGAAGGAAATCAAAAGTATTAGATATAAAAATTGACACCAGAAAGCACTTTCTCTATTCTAACTCCAGAAACACAATAGGCTAGCTGACCTGCTGCTGGCTAGAGTGGTCTAAATTTCATTTCAGCATGTTTGTAGGAGTATATTAGCTCCTGTCTTTCTTCCAGTTTATACCACTTTGTCCTGGTTTCAGCTGGGATAGAGTTAATTTTCTTCCTAGTAGCAGGCATAGTGCTGTGTCTTGGATTTAGTATGAGAAGAATGTTGATAACACACTGATGTTTTTAGTTGTTGCTAAGTACTGCTTATGCTAATCAAGGACTTTTCAGCTTCCCATGCTCTGCCAGGTACACAAGAAACTGGGAGGGGGCACAGCCAGAACAGTTGATCCAAACTGGCCAAAGAGCTATTCCATACCATGTGACGTCATGCTCAGTATATAAACTGGGAGGAGTTGGCCGGGGGGCAGCGATCGCTGCTCAGGAACTGTCTGGGTATCGGTCGGTGGGTGGTGAGCAATTGCATTGTGTATCACTTGCTTTGTATATTATTATTATCATTATTATATTGTTATTATTATCATTACCATTTTATTTTATTTCAATTATTAAACTGTTCTTATCTCAACCCAGGAGTGTTTCTCACTCTTACTCCTCCGATTCTCTCCCCCATCCCATCGGGGCAGGGGGCATGAGTGAGCGGCTGCGTGGTGCTTAGTTGCTGGCTGGGGCTAAACCACAACACACTTCCAAAGCACCATGGATTCCCAAACAGTACATCACATCAGGATTGTACCAATGAATTCCCATGAAAATTGAGAGAAATAACATTTCTTGTCTGCAGTCCAGTTCTGCAGTATGAAGTTCACCATGACAGACCAGAGTTGTTTCTTTCTTCCCGTTCTGATGCACCCAGGACCCTGCGGCTGTAGGAGAGAGACCTAAGCTGAGTCCTAACCTCCCGCTCCGTACATGGCTCTACCTGAGGCAGGGCTGTAGATAAGTGCTGCTTTTTGAGATACAGGCATTTCACAGGATGCTTATGGATGAACTAGTTCTCCGGGATTTCCCAGAGCTGGACTCTCCACCAGCTGCTGTCACAGACTTCCTAGCTTATCTTGGCAAATCATGAGAAGGTCATGCATGCTTCAAGGACTTTGCAAATCTTGTCATAATGGCTTCCCATTAGTAATGCGATTGTTACTCTTCCTCTCCTTGAGATAGTCCTGTCTGTGAAAATACCCAGTTCAGTGGCTAAGGGAAGGCCTCTGGAGCAGCAAATGTAGAAAAAACATACAGCAACAGGCACTGTAGTACTTGCACTCATTTCAGTTGTTTGGGGCTGTTATAATAAACAATAGTGAAATAACTTGAAATCCACAACCACTGGTGGAGCAAATCCAGCAGAACATGAGAGGAATGCCTTTTAGGATGGCTGGATTTAGAGATCAATCAGTACATTTTATCTTGTTCTTATACCGTGCCTCTGAGCATGTATCTGAATATCTTCCAGAGAAGTAGGAAGCCATATGATGTTTATATCCTACCTCATGGACTGTCACTCCTACTTCAAGAGCTAATTCAGAACACACTGAAGTAGATGGAAATGCTATCAGAAGAACAAGCCCAAATGAATACCGAGATCCGTAAAATGCCAATTTTTGCCACAGCTCTCTTAATAAAAACTTTCATAATGCCATCAAACCCAGGCAAGTCAAAGTGTTTTGATGTTTTGCAAATGCAAACATCACTGTGTACTCGTACACAGTGGAGACCAGGCAGAAGAGGTGTCTTTGACCTAGTTTCCAGCATGCCCTCAATATGAGATATTCAGAGCCTTCTTGCAGTAGGGTGCTTTTAGATCCCCTGTTAAAGTCAGGTAAACACAGAACATAAGCTGTTG